AAGTTTCTACGGAATTAAATTTTACGGGAAAATTAACAAACGACCAGAGACGTAACAATAATAAAAATTGGATTACGATATCGACGGTGAGCACAACAAAGATAGCATAGTGTGTAGTTTTGTAACTAACAACAAACAAGACTAAATGACTTTTTAAAATATAGCTTTTATAAATTTTAGGGTCCTTTGAGTCAGCAGTAAGTTTTCAGAGTTACAACTCTAAAATTCGAGGTTCGATTCCTCGCGGCATTAGACTCCAGTTATTCCATTGTGTAGCATTACACTGAGAAGAAACAACATTTGTTAAAATGTTTATTATAACTGTTAATAATTACTGTTTCCAGTTTAACTTTTTTACAAAGTATTGATAAGTGCAAGCTATGATATTTTCTCATTTACTAAATCAAATCGCTAAAGTAATATTATTCAGAATAAGCCACGTACACTTTATTTCTTTGTTTTTATGATCCTCTGAACGAAGTGCATCTTAATTGCCGCTCTTTATTTTCATTTATGTTAATACATAACTTATTCTATTTGTGGCAAATGAAACAACATTTATAGAGGAATTTGATATGAAAAGGTTAAGAGTCATTCTCTTGTTCTAGTTATTTTTGTTGGGCAGGTTTATTACTTGTATAATGCAGATAACTCTTAAAATACGGAGAATATTTTATGGTGTCGCACGCACTTGAACCCAACTCGGCAGCTCCGAAATGCAGAGCTTGATCATAAGGCTAACCCGTGAAAAAATATTTCACTTAACATAGAAACATGCAAGTGTAAATGACACTTTGTACTTTTCTTTTTTTAAAGGATGGTAAACTTAATATATGTGCAGTATTTACAATTATAAGAAATAACATATTACCTTGGTAGTTCTTAGTATATTAATAACATAAAAAATCCAAAAGTCACAGCAATTGCTGGAAAATACAAAACACTTCCGGAATTTCCTTTTGCACCAGTAGAGGGCTGTAAGGAAGACATAAAATATATCAAAATAATACCCAAAAATATTATAATATTAATTTTCTTTAAATGCGGTACATGTGTTTTCTTTGGATATATGTTTCTTGTCGAGTTTTTACCTTGTTGAAGTAAGAAACAGAGCCACCATAATACAGAATCAAAATTATGATTGACCTCATTTGGCTCTGAAGTGCAGATGGTAAACTGCAGTAAACCAGTTTTGATTTGACAGAACCTTATCGTTATTACCACTATACTTAGAAACATTTACTTGAAATACATATCTATACACACAGTCATTTAAGGTTACCAACAATCAATATATGTTTCAGTTTGGAATCATGTTACAGATATCAGCAAGTTGAAAAAATATGTGCGAAAAAACATATTTTCTTGTTTATAAACAATATCATAAACTATTTAACAGTTTTTTGATAAAACGACTTGTTTATAATAACACATTTATGGATTACATTTTCAGGTTAAAATAACTAATACCATATTAAAAACTAAAAGCAAATGATTTTAATATTGTGAAATTAGCCGAAGAAAATGACCCTTTAAATCAGAAATTCCAAAAGCTCAAGAACCTTCATGACACCCTGACTGACTGATCAGTTAATCCATAAAAGTGGATTAACTTACTTTCGTTTAGGTTACTACTATCTACTTTGTTTTTAAACTAATTTCTTTTATTGTGATAACATAAATACTTGTTAACGCGGGCACTTTTCAATTTTTGGAAGAAATGTCCTTCAGTGTGTTGCAGTCTCCTTGAAACCATATCGCAGCTCCTCATAGCTCCCTGGTCATCAATTCGGGAGCTGCTGCTTTAAAAGTGTTTAAAAAACCACTATATTAACATATGTGTTTCAAATTAGAGACGGATTTTAGAATTTGACCCGAAGTCATTCCATACGTTTCCTGGCTATTAAGTATGCGCAGTCCTGTATCGTGCCATAAAATGAAATCATTATAATGTTATTCAGACGAATTCACTAGAAAGATGTATGCTTTACAAAGAATAAAGTCAACTTCTTATATTTCAAATTCCCAGTACTAATTTTCTCTACGTGTTTATAACAGTGGTCTAACAGTGTATCAGATTGGGGATTCAAAGGTCTCGGGTTCGAGATGTAACGTTAACAAACACGCTTCGCACTTTCAGCGTGGGCATGTTTTAAGAATGACAATCAATTCTGTTATTTCATTAAGAGTAGCGCTTCAGGTGGCGGATGCTGCTGACTGGTTGCCTTCAGTGTGGTACACATATCAAAATTAGGGATGGCTATACTATGGGGGCGTTATATTGTGGTGATGACTAGCTGCCTTCCCTCTAGTCTTACACTGCTAAATTAGGGATTGCTAGCGCAGATAACCTTGATGTAGCTTTGTGCGAAATTCAAACCTTATAAAGTAACCAGTCTGTGTAAGAAACTGCACAGCCAGCTAGTCTAGTCATCCTTCCATTACTTTTTTCACCTACTTATTATGTGATCAGCTACAAGTTAGAGCTTTTTTTATTAATATTTATTAATTTCTAAAAATAATTGATCTATGAATTTTATTTTCTATTTTTAAATATTTATATTATATATTTATTTCGCATTTTCTACCTAACCGTCTATTCATCATTATGTCATTTACTGTTTTGAACATATGAATTTCATAAAATAATTTTGAACTCGTGATGGGACATTATAGTCTTTAGCGCTTTGATTATCAATATGAGTACATTACGTACCCACAATTTTGCTTTAGTTCACATTTTTTACAAAAATCTTGGCTTAGTGCTAAATTAACCATTAAGTGATTTTTCAACTTCACCGATACGTTATTACACTAATCGGGTTGGCCATAAATGTTTGTTTGATACGATGGTGGTATAAGCTTATAAGGGTTAACAACTTGTTTCGTCTCTTTAACAAAGGAATAAAATATATGGATTTGAAATGAATTACCACGTAATCAGATTTTATAAAATGGTCATAAATTCATAATTAGTCGAAGTCTTATTCATTTTTCACAAAAAATCGTAATATGATACAGAATATTCTCATTTTCTCCGATAATGAAGATCTAGTACTCTTAGTTTTAAAGACATACTGGGTCTATACGTGGCACTAAAACTGACTCATTGAGCCAACGGAGTTTTTTGCAGTATTGTAAACTTTCGTATGTTACTAAAAACCCTATATCGTTTTGGTTACAAAAGTAAGACTTTAATGAATCTGTCAAGTTTAAACACCAGTTTCACCAGCATTTAACACTTCGTTTATCCATATTGTAGTAATTACCTAGGTCACATCTTTATTTAACTGATGATTTCCAGCCACAATCAACTGGTCGAACTTTCGTAATACACCGTTCAGATTTTTGATGCAATATATATTTAAATAATGGTTATTGTATAATACAAAGTAATATACGTGGCCTAGGCAATTTCAACTAGAGTGTAATAGTTGGTTGTTTTTTACCACCAACTGACTACACAATTCGTGACACCAAATAAAGTACATGGGCGGGAAGCTACCATGTTCAGTGTTATAACTTACAGGTTACTAACCTTCAATCCTACCTCTTTTCTACTTGCGTGAAAAGGTCTGTTAATCAAGCTGTTAATTGTTGCTGTCCAAATTTTCGTTTTTCTAATTTTTAATTTTGGTTATGGTACTTCATAAAGTTGTCGAAGGTCAAAGTTCGATGACCTCTCTTGGGCCCAATATTATGATATTATCGGGTTTTTAGTTATTCACTGAACACAAAAAAGTATTGTTATACAGTATGTAAACAGAATATCAATCTTTAGACTCCTGAATACAAATTAGAGCTTTACGAAACATTAATTAAAAGTTTGCTTTAAACTCCAGTGCATATCAAACCAGTTTTGATTGATTGTTGTGGTTTTGTTTGGCAGGGATATATCATTTCCTTAAACAATATACTGTGTGGAAACCTAATGTCTGCTACAAGTTGAAATCGTAATCTATGAAGTCAATAAAAACTGGTCATTCTCAATGACAAAAGCGAAAGAAAAGTTACGTAAATTATGTATATCATATTTACTTTTTATCATAATTCAACATGCATGAAATACCACAAAAATCTTAAATACAAAGAATCCACATATGCACAACGAGAGAGGCATCCCCTAGCACAAGTTCCTAACTTTGCTGAAAAGTGGAGGTGGGGCAAAAAAAAAGCCAGGTCAATCTAACAATAATAATAGTGTATATACAATAACTGGGCTTGGCATGGCCCGGTGGATAAGTCACTCGTCTCGCATTCCGAGGGTCGCGGTTCGCGTCCTTGTCGCACCAAACATGCCCACTTGGGCGTGGGGCTAGCAACTCCACCCCGGTAACAATTTGCTACTGAAAGTGAAGTGTTGTTGTAGCCCTATTTTCCACTAGGAACGAAAAGGAACTAAGAAGAAGAAGAAGGTACAATAATAAGAAAACGTGTGATCACATGCCCCTTCTGTCCTATGTATTAGGCGCCGATGTTCCCTAGTGAAATGGACACTGGACTAGAATTTATTGTTATAAGCGGTATTTTCAATGTTTTAATTAACTTAGGTGATTGTTTGAAGGCGCGTGAGGTTATGATCGGGAAAGTTAATAATAGAGAAGATCTGTAGAAACAGGTGTACGATATAAATGTGCTTAGTCAGTGAGATATGGAAGTTATTCGATCGATTAGCTGAGGAATTATAGAAGTAAGTTGATAATTAAGTTAGGCATATGTGAAATTAGGCCTGCAACCTTGGTCAAAGTGAAAGCTGCTTGTAGCAAACGGAATTGAAGAAGTGAATAAATAAATTATGGTTACGCTTATTGGGCTTGACATTATTTTATCAAATAATTCAAAAGAACCCGCCCTACGATAGAACAGTTTACCACAATATTTTAATGTCTATTAAAACATTCTCCGGTGAGTCAGCGATAAGTTTAAGTACTTAAACGCTAAAATCCAGAGTTCAGTTCCCCACGGTGGACAGGACAGAGATAGCCAATTGCGTAGCTTTGCGCCTAAACAATAACTTGTTAAATTTATTTGTGTTGAATTTCTTTTTACCTTAGACAAATCCTTGAAGCTTAAGGCCAATATAAAACACTTAAATAACTTAGTTTCTTCCGCACAATGTATTTGAGCGTTGTCACCAACTCCACAAAAATAATTTGCTAACTTTAAAAATAACTGGAAAGGTATCTCCTTCTTAGGAAAACTTCGGGATTTTAAACACTCAAACTCTACTTTATTTGTAAACATGATAGATACCGTATTTTTCGGAATATAAGACGCACCCTTATTTTGAAGACAAAGTTTTTTGGGGGTGTTGCGTCATCGAGGTCACGTGAC